AACAAAAACAATTCTTATTTTCAGGTGATTATACACTAATGAAAACATACCTATAAATACTATATTCCATTTCTGTCAGTAGAGCCTCCTAAATGTTAAAGACTGGACCTTTAAGTGTCTAACTCTGAACACTTACTGAGAGTCTGCATTTAAACCTATTTAAATCCAGCAAGCTGACGTCACTGATTCAGACATGAACACCAAAATCTAAAGCAATGAGTAAACCTGAAGTCAGAATAAAAAAATAATATATTAAGCCAAGAACACCACTGACATACAAAATGATGACAATAACGACTACAATGATGTTGGCAATGATGATGATGACGGCAGTCATGCTGCTGCTGATGATGATAAAGGCAATGATTCACTGCCTTTCCATCCTCTGAAATAGAAATGGCTGGGCTATATTTGCCCTTGCGACCATGGTGACGACTGTCAAAATATGACACCAGAGACTATGTAAAAAGGAGCCAACTCATGTGTACATGTGACATTTCTCATAAAGGAGCCGGAGTGAGACATCAACAATTCAGAGAGAGAGAGAGAGAGAGAGAGAGAGAAACAGAGAGAGAGAGAGAGAACGTACTCCTTTTCTTGATATCTTGAGGGAGTTCATCATTTTCAGTTTGCTGATCATTGTAGCTGCACTAAGCTGAACTTAATTCACTATCTAGTCATCTAATTATGTTGTCAAGGAAGTATTCTTTTAGAAAACAAAACATTGTCCGGCTCCATTTGGCACCTTACATTATTACCTGACTGGAAACAGTAATATACAGTCCAACACTGCCTGATACTTCCTGTTGTGCCCAGGAAAACTGAGAGTGATCTCTAAAAGGAGGAGGGGGTAAATCCTTGTGATAGTAACCATAGAAAGGAAGGAGGAACTGGGATGTTGTTTCACATGGCTGAAGCTTTGTCAAACTCTGTCAGTGTATTGCTGTATGTGGGCCATCACTGGCACAGCTTGACTGAGAAAAGAGGGCCACAAGAGCCAATGGCATCGACCTGAGAGGCTGCCAGAATTTAGGTTAACTATAAGTTATGTAACACGGACTCTGGACTGAGAGCACAGTAATGGTTCACTCTCACTGTTCTCAGTACGAGCAGAAATGAGATAGGATCGTCTGTCAGACGTACAGTATGAGTGACAGTGTTGAATCTGTGCTGTGGTGCAGTGTGTCACTTCTTCATTGTCATTTGTCATTTTTTGGAATTAAATCTGACAAAAAGTGCAACTAGGTTAGCAACCTGTGTCAGATAGAGCTTGATGCCTGACTGATGAAGTGAATAAACACAGTAAATAGTAACAGATTTACTGTGTATTTACTGCACATGCTAAACTACAAATATAAATTTTCCTTCATGACTCATCTCCTTTTCTGACCAGTGTGGTCGGAGAAAATCTGAATCCACCTCCTGACTAATTCAAGCACACAACAAAGTCCCACTGTGCGTGGTTACAGCCAGCAAACGGAACAGGAAACTCCAACTGTATTGGACAAATGTATTTTTAGACAGGCAGTGTGATTGTACTATAAATAGCCATAATGCCTCACGCAGCACTTTGATCATGTGTTATTACTAAGTCACACCAAGATCTCAGAGAGGACAGTCTGGATCGACCCTCAGGCTGCAAAATCTACCTTACATCAAATACTTTAATAAAGAGTCCAAGTTTGAGCATGAAATAAAGGATGGTAATTGGGTATTTATGAGCTCTTTCACCATATTAGTAAGTCCTTTCCTCCTGCCCTGTCTCCGTGGTGTTTACTCCACACCCGTCAGTGGAATAGAAACACACACGTACTAGAGTGATCCCAGCCAAAGTGGGTCACCCTCTCATAACACACTTCCACTGAGTGCTGAGGTCGGGACGAGCAGTCCGTCCTCTGCCCAGAATGTTTGGACCAGCAGGTATTAGTGCAGTTGTTTCTTCAAACTGAACCACTGATGTGTATCAACACAGGGTCAAAGCTCAAGAGTACTTTGGACTTTGTCTTTCCGTTCATCTGTCTGTCCATCTGTTAATCTGTCGCTCTGTTTGTCTCTCTGAGCGCTGAGCTTCATTTTCCTCCCAGTCGGGGACACAGAGTAGCCTATGATTATCTTTAAAAGCAGAGACACTGGAATGTTAATCCAGTCGCTTTACTTTTTCTCACTCAGTATTTCCCCAAAAATCATTGTGTTAATAGTTTGATAGTTTCACAATGAGCAATGTGTGCACATAGACAAACTTCACTTTCTAACTAATGCTGACCTCTGTTTACAAGAAATACAATATAACTGGAAAGAGGGAAGTAGAAGAGGAAGAGAGGATTTACACTCAAATCCATAATCCTGCCCATCTACAGCTTCTCTACACCGCGGGGAGTTTCCTGGTGTTTAGGAGTGTCTGACTTCAAACACCATTACAGAGGTGCACCAGTGAGTCATATTACAGTAGTGTAAGATGAATACCTGACAGTGTGTGTCACCTTTAGGTCGGATCATCACTTTTATAAGGCGTCTGAAAGCAATTCACACAGACACAGAAGACCAGAAAGTCTGTGGAAGCGACGGAAGGCCAAAAAGATTTTAATTTTAAACTGAATACCTAACTGTAAATTGTAACCACGACTGAATATTTACAGTAATTCTGAAATTTAAATACCACTGATCTGTAAACCAGTGGTTACAATTTGGTATTTCAGTTCCTCATCAACTTAATGCAAATGTATGGCAGCCTTTGTTTGCTGTCGCTCCCTGAATGGCTGTTTTATCTGCCGCAAACAATGCACAAATTATGAAATATAGAGAGGAAGAAAAGTTCTGTAAAAAAGCATACAACATATGTTAACTTTAGGTTAACAATACTACAGCCTCCAGAATGACCTTTGAACTCAATCAACAACTCAGACTCAACAAAAGCTGAAATACATGAGCTTCACCCATTGAACTAGTATTCCCATTATTTTGCCCCCCCTCAAAATATCAGTGTTTCTTTTGTTTTATTGGACAAAAATAATAAAATAAATGATCCAATTAAAATGGCACTACAGAGTACGTGTTCTAACTCGTTCATAGCGCTGGCTGATTGCCCTCTGACAACCAGCACCTGGAGGTTTAAAAGTTATTTATTTACCATCACATCAGTGCTTGTTACAGTGCAATGTGAACACAACAGACAGGATCTGTGGGCAGCAGTGACAGCAGCCTCTGCGTGTGTCACCGTCTGCGTCAAGAAAAGTCAGGGGAGCCACAAAGAGGATTTATGTGGAGCCAGATCAATTTCTCTCCCAACCCCTTCCGGTTTCGTTGGGCTGGTTGAGCTGGTTTTAGCCATTAACTATAAGATTCCCCATGCAGATGTCAACTAGATGTGTTTAAACTGAGGTATAAGGTATATTTTTTGTAAAGCTGAGCTGTATGAAGTGTGATTGTTTGGTCTGAACGAGGTTCGACTGATTTAAGACCGAACAACGTCGTGATTACAGTCTTTAGCTTGGTTTAATGACAGCGTTGTGTTGGGTTTGAATCAATAAAGAAACACTGCTACTGTTTCTCGAGGTAGACTACAACGTACCTGTCACACTAATAACATATGTCTGACTTTTCCCACATAAACAATCCTATGGCTAGCTATTCCGACCATTGTACGCATGTGCGAGGTGGAGACGCGGTTCCTTGGGGAGGCACTATCTTGCTGCTACATGTGGTCTCTTTGGGAGCTCCCAGCCAGTCCTCTCATGTTCACACTGGTACTACTGTGAAGCTGCACATAAACACAGAGGGACACACAATGCTCAGCTGGCTGCACCGCGCACAAGACCCATAACTTCGTGTCAATTTCAGCCTTCTTTGTTGCTATGCCGCATTTTACTTCTTGGTGAGTAACTGACGAAACGTCCCTAAATTACTCCCGAAATGTTTCTGTGAGTAATTCCTGTGGTTTATAAATGTATCTTATTTTATGTTTATCACTTAAATCGTATCACGTATCGAGAATAGTGTAAGCTGTGAGTCGGAGTAATGTGGGCAATTACCGGAGCGGTACTGCTCAATTTACTGTTTATACTACGTTACACGAAGAGCCCGACAGCCTAAAATTAGTACTAATGTTTACACAAACTTCCTATCCCACAGTCTGTGCTAGAGGAAGTTTGCTCTGGTTTGAATGAGACTGTGAGCGTTGTGCTGTGAGGGCAGCGGCAGGGGAACAGTGTTGTCAGTGGGGCTGACATGGTCGCGGTGTGTCTCCGTGAGGGGTGAAGAGGTCAGCTGCCTAATGATTGTTGTTGAGCCAAACAGGAAACGACTCCTCCAGTGAAAACCTGCTGTGACATTCCTGTAGGGATTTAAAGTACGCGTGAACACAAGAGTGAAAGTATTGGGCATGTATTCTGCGTCATGGTAGTTGTTTTTCCTCCAGTAGTGTCACAATAAAAATTCCCTGCAGCCATATTCTTAACTACTTTTAATACATTATACCCACCTCCTGTTTCACATGAACGCGCACGTGCACCACGTGCTTTTGCTGCTTTTGAACCTTTAAATTATTAATGTGATCTCAGTGGATACACACATGTACAGGCTGTACAGTACAGTAAGGTCTGTGCACCCTCACACTTATTAAATGTGATAAATGTGATATCATTGGGACAAGAGGCAGCTTTAATAATACTGCAGTGCAGCATTAATTAGAAATACTGTCAGTTTATTTGTAGGAATATTACATTAGATCATTTTCGGCTGAGACAGATAAATGCCTTTACACCTAGCTGCCTGTGCAGGAGAAGGCTGTACAGTGTAAACAGGGTAATGGCGCAAGAAGATGTCTCTTGTTTCACCTCTTATTTGCTGATGGATCCAGGAAGTTGCTCACTCCGAATGCACACGCGCACACACACACACACACACTCTCACACACACACTCTCTCTCACACACACACTGGTTTAACTGTTTGCTTACTACAGACAATCCCAGAATGAGTGTGTGTTAGTGCAGGGCGATGGAGTATTTTCTGAGCAGAAGCAATGTCACTGTTTTTCCTGGTGTACTCTCTCTTTTAGAAAATGCTCCTGCTGTACTGTTATCAGTGGCTCGTGTGTTAGGTTGAATGTTCTCTACTCTTCTCTCTGGGACTTAATGGGGGCGTCAGTGTAAATCCTGGTCAGCTGCTTGTATTGCTGTCACTTATTGGACCATGATGGAGTTTAAAGCATCTCGAGGTCATGACGTTTTTCTGGCTGTTTGGAGCCTTGAAGAAGACTACAAATTTTATTAGTGAATATTAAGTTTGCAGGCTTTAAAGAGTAAGAGCATACAGATGTGACTGTTTTCTGTCACAGGCCAAGCTGAAAAAAATATGAATGTATATAAAAGTGGTCATTTGTTGCAGTCCTAAACAAACGGTGGCAGTTTTCCTGACATCCAATAGGTCACAGGCTCCCATTGTCCCAATGAATTAACAGCTTCTGCACACAGACTTGTGAAACAGAAATATGTTGGCCTAGAGTAATAACAGCTTTTCTTTACACCACTCGTTTACAACACACTCTGTGTAGATTTTCTCTTTTACTCAGTAGCTTTGAACATCCCTGCTAAGGTTTCTTACCCTGAAATTACTCGTGTTTGGATTTTTTCCCCACGTTCATATCCAGAAATAGCAGCCACTGGAACCATTACACCCCCCAGTCCTCAGCACACAGCCATTGGACGCTCTGTTTCCACGTATTCTTCACAAAAAAAACTTGAGGAATCATTGGAATGTTAATGACTCTGCAGGGAAAAGAAAAAGGGCTGTTGATTTTTGACTTTTTATTACTCAAGTGCTCAGCTGGTTGTAAGCGAACGTAGGATTCCAGCTCATGTTTGTACACTTATGAAATGTCAGTTTGTTGGATAATCACTGTCGAGATGTAAATGAGCCTAAACAAACTTGTGCCCTGAAACCGGCTCGACCGGCAGCGCTGCAGCTCAGGAAAGACCTCTCATTCCTCCAGCGGTCTCTTCCAAAGTCCTTTTATTTGACTGTGTACATTTGGTCTCTAAAACAGATGAGCAAACACGTTGTTGCTGTGGTAGAGGATTGTATGCCAGTATTATTAACTGATTTACATAATGTCTCATTTGATGTTCCTGGGTTAGGAGTGCTGCTGCCTAGATAAAGCCTCACAATTTATGAATGGGTTTCTGCCTGTCAGAGTATTCATCCATGCATTTATTACCACAGTGTGATATTTGAATACTGAAACCAATGTCTTATTTCTCTTTGTGTTCATGCAGAATGTATATCAACCACCGCAGCCAAACAATGAGGGGCATCCTTAAGAGGAAGTTTGCAGAGGTAGATGACAATCCCTGCTACTCCTCCTCCTCTCCTCCGTCCTCCCTCTCTTCCCCTGCCTCCTCGGAGTGGGAGTCCGACGGGGTGAGCAGCCCCTCAGACGACCAGGATTTCACGCCTCACAGTCCTTCTTCACCCACCAGTTTACCCAGTAAGTCTCCAAACCAATGACCACTGTGCTTTTTTCCACCTCCCTTCTTTCAAATAATGCAAACCTCCTCTTTATCTTGCCGTTTTCCCATCACTGTTTTATAGGAGTGCCTCTTATCAGCCTGCAGCAGCGCTGGTATGAAAACGTTAACCTTAGGGCGGTTGTAGATCATGCACAGCGAATGACTCGCCTCTGGACTGTGCGGTTGGGTGGAAGATCATTTGCCTGAGCAATAGGATGTTGTGGAATCAATTTGAATAGCAAGATCCCTTTAAACATGTCATATCAAATGTCCTTGTTAAGATAGCACGAAGCTGTACAGATGACAAAATATTTTTCAGTTATTGTTGTACAGTCTATAGCCTTATGTATAACAGTTCCAGGCTTGTTATTCTGAGCCTGTTACCAAGCCACAATGGAGTCATAGTGCAAACAGTGCCCCAGTGTGGAGCCTTTTAGACAGACAGAGCAGCTGAGACATGCTTAGTCAGCTGCTCTCACTTGTTTACTGACTTTAGGAACTAGAGTTCAGCTTCAGTTATGTGTGAGGGTTTAGATCCATTGTTGAAGCTAAACTGTTAAACCAAACAGTAACCTGATGAATACTGAAGCCTAAACTGTCAGGCAGAGTCTAACTATGTGCTGATAAACCTCCAACAAACAGCAATTAGACCCTGCTTTACTTCTTTTCTCTCTGTGCTGCTGACCTGTCCACTGGTTCAATAGGCCCTTTGCTTGGTATTTCCTGTCCACATGTATGTTGAACTGTTGAACCAAGCCACTGCAGTGAAGCACCTGTAGTGTGTCACCTAGTGGCCACTCAGAGACCTACAGAAGTCCCAGTCCCAGAATCATTTTGAAAGTACCCCAGTGTAATAGTAATAGATATTTATGAAGCACTGACTTTGAGCAAAGAGAAGGAGAGCATTGTGACAAAGTAGGAATTACCACAATCTAGTGCAGTGTTTCTGATAGTTGTGGAGTATAAGACGGTGGTAAAATATCATTGCAGGCCATCATCATGTCAGAATAATTTCTTTCTTTGGAAATAAACCTGAAAATATCTCTCAATATTAAAGCCCCTGTATAATTTGAAATGAATAAATAACATACTAGATAGAGACTTTACTAAATAACAATTAGATTTCACCTGTTGTGATAAAGTTGAGCACAGGCATTTGGCCTGGTGAAAAGGGCCCATCTGCCATCACCATTAAGCAGGTGAAATCCAAGGAAACAGGATTATGTTCAAATAAAGTTTTAGTCGCATTAAATCACAAACATTATTAGGTTTTATCAACTCATCTAATCTAAATAATGGTCTAGATCTCTGAAAAGATCTAGCTCTCTCTGAAAACTGGACCTGACAGTGTTTTTTGACACTTTTTCTGATGTTTCCATTGTCTCTTTTTCTAACGCAACCAGTTCGGTCCATCCTGAAGAGGCCAAAGCTTGCAGGCACACAGAGCAACGTGCGCTTTGACCATGTGACAGTGTTCAGTTTCCCACGCTGTCAGGGCTTCACCAGTGTGCCCAGCCGGGGGGGTGCCACCCTGGGTATGATGCGGAAGCACAGCACCCTCCACAGATACACGGTGGCAAAGTACGCACTGGAGCAACGACACAGGCGCAGAGAGAGGCTCAGAGACAGACTGAGAGAAGAGAGGTTCGAGGCTCTGAAACAGAAAGTGAGTGAACTTCATTTCTACATTAGTTTGCACTGCTCATCTGCACAGCAGTCTTATCTTTATCTGTTGTGCTGATTCCAGTTGATCACCAGTGGGGCCATTGACCAACGGGAAGCAGACAGGCTCACGGTGGATCAGATCCCAGATCAAGACACTGAGGTCCACGTCAGTGATGCTGAGCTGGGGGACGGAGGTTTCCTTCAGCCGTACTCCTCCAGACAGCGGCAGGCTCTGCTCCTGGCAGCCGGGGTGAAGCGCATAGACAGGGAGGAGAAGAGGCAGCTTCACGCCCTGCGTCTCTCCAGAGAGGCCTGTGGATGTGACTGCCGAGGCTTTTGTGAGCCAGAGACCTGCGCATGCAGTCTGGCAGGAATCAAGTGCCAGGTAAAACACTATGCACTGCCGCTTTTTATCTTGACATTCCTATCTCGTTAATTTATACATACACAATTTCTCAAATGATTTTCCATTAATAATAATATCAATATTGTGATAGAAAATTACAAACACTGCAATTGAGGATTTGGTCCATATCACCCTCCCCAGTGCGTGCTATCGTTTGTCTTTGCACTACTGTAAAAAGTAGTCCATGAGGGGCCTGTTGTTTAGAAA